CCGATATAGAGAACGCAAAAGTGCTCAAGGCTGAAGCCAAAGCTTTGCTCTCTGATAATGATGACTCCGGGAGCGCAAGTGAATCCGAGAGCGGAGAAGATGAAGATGGAACTTGCGGGGAAGATTAGGCACTTAGAATTTTTCTTCTTCTTTTTTTTTGATTTTTTGTGTAAGACCCTGAGTGGTCTTTGTAAATACTTTCGTATATAAGAAAGGTCCTTTTTCTTTCTAATTTTTCTCTGATTTATATTTCGTGAAAATTCTATTTTTCTTTCACCTTATGATAATTCTGATATAATTTAGGTTTTGTGAGAAGTTCGGCTCACTTCGCTGCCTTGTGAAAATTTTGTTAAAATTAGATTGCTATAGTCTCTATAAGCGAGTGAGTACTTGCTCGAACTTAGAGTAGAAAAACCCTTAGGTTTTTTTATTAAGCGGGGGTGGGTCCTCGAGCTCAACAATGTAATGGCCCTTAGACTCTTGAATCGGGCCAATATATCCTCGAAAGAGTTGGCTTTTTCCCTTTTTCGGCTTAAAAGTTTTAATCATATTAAAATTCGTTATGCCTTAGCATGAGATAGATCTGTACCCATTAGGGTTCAGTGTTATCGAAAAAACTTTGTTATGCCTTATCATAAGTTTGTTCAATTTGGTACCTCTTAAGGTTTTCGAGGGTTGATGTTATCGAAACCCTACATAAATTTGCTAATGGTAGCTCTTTTTTAACTGGTTTTATGAAAATATTTGAAGGCCTGTTTGATTACGGAATTCAGACATCTCCGAACCGTATTAGTTTAGCCGTAGATTTTTACTTGATATTTGTCCATTGAGCTTGTTTCTCGATTATACTTCAAACTTGTTCGAAGTATCAGTCCCCCAGTGGGGTGGCCATAGCCTGTAAAATCGAAGATTGCCTTTTTAAGGTCTTACGATTTCGAAGTTTAATAATTCGAGCATGTCGATTTTTGGATGGCAGTCCCCGAGTACGTGGTTAATCGCTCGAGCTTTAGTCGCGATTGGCTCTTGAGCCGGTTTTCGTAATAGATCGTAAGTATGAAACTGTAAAGTAGAAATTTCACTAAAGTATGGAATATTTGGTAGGGAAAAGATACTTCTTTCAATAGATCATTCATGTGTATATATTTTTCCATTAGGGCTCGAGTAATATACACGGGCACGGTTCATTTGACCGTTTGGCCCTTTACAAAATTTACCTATTGAGACCATATCGACACGAAATATTTTCTTTGAAAATATAACATCCGAGGGTGATGCCCCCCAGTATTCGAGGTTGATTGTAGAGAAGCCTTGGATATTGTTGAATTGCTCTAAGTTAGCATGAACACTGGTTGCCTCGTTAAAATCATTGCTAGAAAAATCCATTTGAGATAAAAATCGGTCGAAGGGAAAAAGAGTGCAATGCGTGCTTTCCGACCTAAGGACTTCGTTTTTGGAGAGAACTTCGACGTCTTCGACCAAACATTTGCAATAATTTAGTATAAAATACAAATGAAAAAGAGAGAAAACCATACCTTAGCAATAATATCTCTTGAGGAGTGATATGTTCTAATTATTTGGCAATTGTTCACCGTTTATCGTGCCAAGTTTGTAAGACCCTTTTCTGACGATGCCGAGGACCTGATACGGTCCTTCTTAATTTGGACCAAGCTTCCCCTTGTTTGGGTCTCGAGTGTTGATGGTGACCTTTCTCAGAGCTAAGTCTCCAATTTTGAAGTGTCAAAGACTGGCTCTTTGATTGTAATATCTTTCGATTTGCTATTTCTGGGCTGTCATTCAAATGAGGGCGGCTTCCAGTTTTTTATCTAGCAATTCAAGGCTCGTATTCATGGCTTCGTGATTTGATTCTTCCGTTGTGTACCAAAACCTGACACTTGGTTCCACGACTTCGACCATGATCAGAGCTTCGGTGCCATATACTAAGGAATACAACGTTGCCCCCATACTGGATTTTGCCATTTTCTGATATGCCCAAAGGACTTCAGGTAAAATATCTCTCCATTTCCCCTTAGCATTGTTCAACCTTTTCTTTAGGTTCTGAATGATGACCTTGTTTGTTGATTCGGTCTGTCCGTTCCCACTAGGATGATACGACGTCGATAATATCCTTTTTTGTGATCTTCGAGGAACTTCGTTATTTTGCTGCCGATAAATTATTTTCCATTGTCGCATACTATATCTGCGGGTATCCCGAATCGGCATATGATGTGATCCCAAATGAAGTCTATGACTTCTTTTTCTCTGACTTTCTCGAAGGCTTGTGCTTCAACCCACTAAGAGAAATAGTCAGTCATAAATAAAATGAACTTAGCTTTACCTGGGGCCAATGGTAGAGGACCGATGATATCTCTTCCCCATTTCATGAATGGCCATGGGGATAATACTGAATGAAGCTGCTCCCTGGGTTGATGAATCATCAGTGCATGTCTTTGGCATTTATCGCATTTTTGAACGAACTCCTTATTATCTTTTTCCATATTGTCCTAATAATATCCTACTCTGATGACTTTGTGAACCAGGGATTTGGCACCAGTATGGTTCCCGTAAGTGCCCTCATGAATTTCTCGTAGGACGTATTCGGTGTCTCCCGGACCCAAGCATATTGCCAACGGCCCATCGAACATCCTTCTGTACAATGTTCCATCATCGACCAATGTGAAACGTGAAGATTTCATTCGCAGAGTCCTCGATTCCTTAGGATCCGGTAGAAGTCTCCCATTCTTCAGATAATCAATGTATTTGTTCCTCCAATCCCAAGTTAGGCTTGTGGAGTTTATTTCGGCGTGGCCTTCTTAGACTACCGACTTTGAAAATTGTACGACAATCCCCATGCTAATTTCATCATCTTCGACTGATGACCCAAATTTGCAAGGGCATCACCCTCACCATTTTGTTCTCGAGGTACATGATGTAGGGTCCATTCTTTGAATAGGTGTAAGGTTACCTACAATTTGTCCAAGTACCTCTGGATTCGATCTTCTCGAACCTCGAAGGTTTTGTTTACCTGGTTAACCACGAGTTAGGAATCACACTTGGCCTCAATGACCTCTGCCCCTAAACTTTTAGCCAGCTCAAGACCTGCAATCATGACCTCATACTCGGCCTCATTGTTAGTCAAATTAGGGGTTTTGATAGATTGTCTAATCGTATTGCCTGTGGGTGGCTTCAAAACAATGCCTAGCCCGGACCCCTTCACATTTGAAGCTTCATCTGTGAAAAGGGTCCACACCTCTAAAGATGTACGCGAGTTTAGCAATAGTTCCTTTTCGACCTCGGGCACGAGGGCTAGTGTAAAGTCGGTTTGTAAAGTCGGATACGGAGTCTGCTAAGATTTGAGACTTGATGGTCATTCGGGGTTGATACTCGATATCGTTCCCACTAATTTCGACGGCCCATTTATCTAATCGGCCTGAGAGTTCGGGCTTGTGTAGAATATTATGAAGGGGGTAAGTGATTACGACATAAATTGGGTGACATTGGAAATACGATTTTAATTTCCTAGAGGTTCTTATTAGAGCAAGCTCTAATTTTTCTAAGTGTGGGTACTGGGTCTCTACTTCACCTAAAGTTCGGCTAACATAGTGAATGGGAAATTGCGTACCTTGCTCTTCTCGAACTAGAACACCACTTACCGCGACCTCCGAGACCGCCAAATACAAGTAAAGTTGCTCGTCCGCTTTTGGAGTGTGAAGCAATGGTGGGCTCGAAAGGTACCACTTTAACTCTTCCAATGCCTGTTGGAATTCCGGGGTCCAAGTGAAATTGTTCTTCTTCTTGAGCAGTGAGAAGAACCTGTGACTTCGATCCGAAGACCTCGAGATGAAGCGGCCTAAAATGGCTATCCGTCCTGTTAACCTTTGAATGGCCTTAACGCTGTCCACGACTGTGATGTCTTTGATTGTCTTGATTTTATCGGGGTTGATCTCGATTCCCCGGTTTGACACCATAAAGCCGAGGAACTTGCCTGAACCGACCTCGAATGCACATTTCTCGGGGTTGAGCTTTATGTTATATTTTCTTAATATGTCGAAGGTTTCCTGCAAATGTGTCAAATGGTCCTCTGCGTATAGGGACTTGACTAACATGTCATCAATATAAACCTCTATTGATTTACCTATTTGTTCTTCGAACATTCGGTTTACTAGGTATTGATAGGTAGCACCAGTATTTTTTAGCCCAAACAACGTTACATTATAGTAATAAGTATCGTACTTAGTGATAAATGAAGTCTTTTCCTGATCCTCCGGGTTCATTTGTATTTGGCTGTACCCGTAGTAGGCATCAAGAAAACTGAGAATCTCATGGCCGGCCGTGGCACCGATCATTCGATCAGTATTCGGCAGGGGAAATGAGTCGGTAGGGCATGCTTTGTTTAAGTCTTTGTAGTCTACACACATTCTAAGTTCAATCCCCTTCTTGGGGATTACAACTACGTTTGCTAACCACTCGGGATATTTTACTTCCCGGATGGATCCTATTTTGAGAAGTTTGGTTACCTCTTCCTTGATGAATGCGTGTTTTACCTCAGATTGTGGCCTTCTCTTTTGCTTTATCAGTTTGAACTTTGGGTCCAAACTCAATCGATGGTTGGTGATCTCCAGTGGGACTCCTATCATGTCAAGGTGGGACCAAGTAAAACAATCCATATTTTAATAAGGAATTTAATGAGTTTTTTCCTTGAGCTTAGGAGTTAACCCCATGCCTAGGTATACCTTTCGATCGGGCAGGTTCTCGATTAGTATGACTTGTTCCAGCTCTTCGACTATTGACTTTGTGGCATCAGAATCATTGGGGATTATGAAGGTTCGAGGTATCATACAATCATCATCCTCGAGAGTCTCATGCTGTTCTGATCTGGTCGAAGTCGGCGATTGTGGTTGCTATTTGACTTCCAGCTTTTCCTTCGATTCTGGTCCCTTGGTTGATGTTAGTGCCGATACTGGTATTACTTCATCAATTGCAAACATCTATTTTGTTGTTGGTTATTCGCCGTACACCGTTTTGACTCCTTCCGGTGTTGGGAATTTCAAGATTTGATGAAACATTGAAGGTACTGCCCTCATATTGTAGATCCAAGGTCTTTCGAGCAGCGCGTTGTACCTCATGTCACCTTCGATCATGTGGAATTTCGTTTCCTGGATAGTTCCGGCCACATTCACTGGCAACATGATTTTCCCTTTGATGGTTTCACTCGCCATGTTGAAACCGTTGACCATTTGAGCAGTAGGCAAGATTTGATCCTGAAGGCTGAGCTGCTCTACGACCCTCGATCGAATAATGTTCGCCGAGCTAGCTGGATCAACCAACACACATTTAACCTGAATTTTATTCATAAGGATAGATATTACCAGTACGTCATTGTGAGGCTGTTCGATCCCATCTGCATCCTTATCATTGAAAGATAAGGTATCTTCTGGTAAGTAGTCCTGTATACATTTCTCCCTTGTGATTGTGACTTTGGTGCGTTTAAATGTCGGACCCTGAGGGATATCGACCCTACGGACGTTCATATGAATCACATGTTGCGGTTCCTCCTATTCTTTTTCCTGTTTGCGTCCCTATCTCTGAAGTGATTTTTTACTCGGTCACTTAAGAACTCTCGAAGATGACCTTCATTGAATAAACGAGCTACCTGATCCCTTAATTGTCTGCAATCTTCGGTTCTGTGACCATGAGTTCTATGGTACTTGTACATTTGATTTGGATTCCTTTGAGTTGGATCGGTCTGTAGGGGTTTGGTCCACCTAGTATCCTTGATTAGTCCAATGACGAACACAATACCTGAAGCATCAATGCTAAAGTTGTATTCCCATAACCGTGGTGCTTCCTTAGGCTCGACGTGTTTATCGAAGCCATTCTTACTCATGAGCCCTCGAGAATTTTGACCTCGATCATTTTGAACGGGATTACATGCCAGTTTATTGTTTTTTCGATCTGTGCTATATGGTTGGTAGCAATCTCTATTCGACTGGGGCTCTCTGTCGATGTCTCTTTGAATTTTGCCTTTAGACCTATTTGGGTAAACGGAATCGGATGGAGCTCCCAACTAGTCATCCTCGACTCTGATTTTTGATTGGTATCGATTATGCACATCGGCCCAGGTCATCGCTAGGTATTCAATAAAATTCTACTTTAGTTAACGTGATGCAATCAAATTTTGCTTGTTCAAACCCTGAGTAAAGGCTTGGACATCCCAATCATCGGTAACCGGGGGTAGGTCCATGCGCTCCATCTAAAATCGAGATATGAATTTCTTTAGAATTTCATTATCCTTCTGTCTCCCTTTGAAGAGGTCTGACTTCCTAGTCGTAACCTTTATTGCTCCAGTGTGCGCCTTTACGAATGAATCCACAACCATGGTGAAAGACTCGATGGAATTGTGTGGCAAATTGTGGTACCATATCATTGCCCCCTTTGATAAAGTTTCTCCAAATATTTCCAACAGAATAGATTCAGTCTTCTAAGTCATTTCCTTTTATTGTGAATGTATAAGAAGTGACGTGCTCGTTAGGATCAGTGGTTCCATTATACTTGGGAATTTTTAGCATGCGGAATTTCTTCGGAATGGGCTTCGGAGCCGCACTTGGTGGGAAAGGCTTCTGTACAAACTCTTTCGAATCCAAATCCTTCAGAATCGGGGGTGCCCTCGATATTTGATCAACCCGGGAGTTGTACATTTCTACCTTTTATCATTAGCCTTGGTCTTCTTTTCTCCCGATTCAATCTGTTTAGTGAGGTCCTCGAGCATCTTCATGATGGCGGGATCAGTTCCCGATCCGTGGTTGTTCAATTTCTCCTGTGCTGGTTCGACTCTATGAGCAACTCCCTATGATGTATCGAGCTCGATTCTGATTTTGGAGTTGCGCTACTGCGGCCTGCTAAGTTTGTAACATGTCAAATATCATTCGAAGGCTAATTCCACCTTCTTCACCATTTTGTATGTTCTGGTCGGCTAGCCGGGCGTCTCTGCGGATGCTATTTTCAAGGTCGGCATCTAAATTTCCACGAATGGCGACATGAGAACTGACATCAACCAGATCTATAGCCTGTGGTACGTCGGGATTGATTGGAGGTACTCCATTTCCCGGAGCGACTACGTGTTCGTGTTTGCCATGAAGACCATGGCCATATCAGTGTGAGTGGGTACTGCTTGAGAGTTTGACTTGTTGATTCCTGAAATCAAAAATATTTACGAGAACAAGTGTAAAAGCAGTGTGTGTTGTGAAGGTTAATATTAAGCAATCACTCTTATCCTTAGCCCCACGGTGGACGTCAAACGGTTTACCCTAAAAATTGAGTAACAATTAAACATGTAATGTGGTTTTAAAGATATGTGATTTCACCTAATACCAATTGATAAATGTAAAAATAAATGATGCAAATTGACAATAATACAAAGCAAACCAGTGTTTGGTCAATGCCCTCGATCTAATGAACCCTCGAGCTTGGTAGAGTAAGAATAGTTCAAGAGCAGTAAGTTGATGAGAAGAAGAAAGAAATATTATATTGCTTTGATATTCGTGAATGTAATGTGTCTACAAATGATGGGGGTTCCCTTTTATATACTAGAGGAATCCTAATTATGGTACAATTCTAACTACAGAAGTAAATCCCATGATTGGTACGAATAACCGCCCTTGATTTGATATATCCCGGGATTCCCGCCGTGATCTTCGATCGGTTATGGATATCTCGCCTTTCCATTATTGCACTTCACTCGAAGTCGGTCATACTTAGCCTCGACTCCTGCTGGCCTTGATCTCGACGGACATCTCGATCCTTGAACTCGACACCTCATCTTCGTGTTATACCCGATTCATTGTGAGGCTAACCCTCGGCGTGATCTCCTGGTCTCGATTAAATAGCATTTTGACCGTATACACCATCACTGCTTATATTATATGCAAGTGTCTAATATCTTAAATTTCTAATCCGACAAATATAATAATATCATAAAATGAAACATATGGATTTGAAAACTTCGTTTAACAAAAGGGAAAGGAAAAGATAGAAACACAATTACCGGCCAACATTTTAAATGTCAAAAAAGGAAACAGAGAGCATGCAGAAGTCTAATGTGTCACCTACATTACTACGGAAAGAATTTAGAGGAAATTCACAACTGATACACTTTCTTTATTAAGGGTGGGCATTCGGTATTTCGGTTTATTAATTGTGTATACCAAATACCGTACCAAAGTATTTTGGTACGGTTCGATATTTCTTATTTTGGTTCGGTACGGTTTTGGTTTAAACCATTTTCTACTTCATGGAGCACAACAAAGGTATAGGTTTTGTCTGGTGTAGCTGGTGGAGTGTTCAGCAAGTAGAACGTTTAATTTGTGTTGTAGTGCTTTTGGTAAATGTTAGAACCTTTGCTCCGTCAAATATCATGAAGAAGAATAAAAAAAATGTATTTCGCAATTAATATATTAGTTTTATTGCTATTATTATTACTCAATCACTACATTATTTAAATTTTGTTACTTGTTAAAAGATGAGTAATATTGTGTACTAGTGCTATTAAGGAAGACCAAACAAAATGAGTACAAAGAAAAGATCAAATATTTTCAAATAAATATAACTGCAAGCATCAATTACTGTCTCAATTTATAAACTATTTCGGTATTTCGCTATACCGAAATACCGAAATATCAAAAATTCAATACCGTATACCGTACTGAATAATCGAATTTTTGTACCGAAAAAACCGAAACCCAAATACCAAATTAATTCGGTTCGATTCGGAATTCGGTTTTTCGGATTTTATGCCCACCGCTATTCTTAACCGTGTCGGATTAAAGATTAAAAGATAGAAAGTGTATTGCCAACTTTTTCTGGAGCCATTGCCAGCTTTGATTTGATCTCGTGGTCTATTATTCTTCCGTCTCCCCCTTCTACATGAAATGGATAAACCCTTATTTATAGAGGCTAAAGAATTTTTATGGGGAAAAGGAAGCTCAACTAACTACTCATAAGCTATATATAAGGAAAAAAAGTGCTGACTTAGCACGTTTTTTTGGCCAAAAAATCTATTTATCTTCGCTCTTCTTTTTTTTTTTTGGCTTTTTAATACCATATTCTTTGTCTTTCTCTCTTTCCTGTAATTATATATTTTGTAACCGACTATAACAATCAATTACACATAACTATACCTGAAACTTTGTCACGCAAATAATAGCCGAAACATTCCGAACAATGAAAAGGGTATAGTAACGGTTCTTCTCTTCTAGCTACAAATTGGTTGTATTTCATTCATCTTCCTAATTATCAATCCTTTGTTTTGCTTCTTTCCTTAAAAAGCTCTCCGATAATATTCGCTTACACTCCGGTTGACATAAATAAAATTCATAGAGGATACCAACTAATTATGCAATGGTGATGAAGTGTTCTCTTTCTTTTCCTGTCAAGAGATCGAGTAGTGAGTAGGTGTAAATTTATACACTCCAAATTAATCTCAAATTCCAACACAACAACCTTATGGAGGTCCCGCTGGAGGACAAAGCTGCAGATTGCTGGTTAGTGAGTAGAATGTGTCTAGACGATGAATCTCAAGTGGCCAAAGCAGCATAGAATTCAAGGCTTTGCATCCATTACAAGTGATCTATCATGTTTTTCCTCATTCTTAAAATTTTCTTTTGGAGGTAGGAGCTTGGGAGAAACGGGGATGTCACTGAAAACCTCGAAGTGCATATGTGCTAGAGGGTATGCAGTGCAGAAAGACTTTATTACATAGGCCATTTCCAGCATCAGTTTAATTTAGGAATATCTATTTTCTTTTGTGATACTCTGTTTGTTTAGAACTATTTAGTGTAATATCTTATTCGTACATGCATGAAAATATATGAAAAGCTTCTTATGCTTTCTCTTCGCTTTCTCGCGTTCTCTTCTCTAATTAATGGAGATTTTTGCATCTTTCCATTAAGTCTTGACATGGTATAAAAGCTAGGAGGATCATTTTTGCTCCGTTTTCTCCATTCTTTGGTTGACTAACGGTCTTTTTTCCCCTTCTTGAAACTTTAATCGAGTTAAATTTTTTGTTGTTGTCGACTTTTTATTTTGGTTCAATATTGAGAGAGTTGGTTCATGCTGGGGTGATCTTGATGAGACTTGTGTGTGTGGCTTTGGTTGTAATGTATTTTTTTCTTATGATGGTAGTGTTTGAGTCAGCTTATGGATACCTTGACAATTTTATTGTGCTGCCTCCCACAATCATAGATACCAAATAACTCTACTCACCAAAGCTTAGGTAGTGTTCTCTACATAATTTAGGAGACAATAGTATTGTTTTCCTTTTTTTTTTGGGCACAAGTAATTGGTATTGCAATAACAGAATCCACCATTGAGTAGAGCACGAGTTAATGAGTATTGTCTTTAAACTTGTGTTTTTTATAGATAGCCCGTTATTTTTTTCTCCTTTTTTTGACATATTAGCTTAAGATTGTTCGTTTTCTTCAACTTATACTTTAATTTAAACCAATCAATATAAAATTAACTAATATTTGACACCTGACCATCTTTAATGGGACTTAAGACGTGTGGTTTTGATATTGTCTCATGTGATTTCCATTTATTTAATATAGAAATTATGCGACTCATGGGAGCATATAATCTAAATGGGAAGAAATTGAACAGATTCAAGACAAGTCACTATTAAAAATATTACTCTAACAATAACAAATAATAGTTAAGAAAATGTGACGAGGCTTTTCAAGACCAAACGAAGCGCGGATAAATTTACTAATAATAGTAATAAAGCGAATCAAATTAAAATCCCAAAGTTGGTTTGGCTGGTACTCTCATGTCTCCTTATTAAAAGACGGATGCTAAAGTAGGGGTGGGCATAAAATTCGAAA